ACTCCGACTACGTCGGTGCCTACACCGACTACCACAGCGGTGCCAGTGATGGTATCTATGACGGTGCTCACCACAGCCCCGACCACGACAGCACCGGCGGTACCCACCCCGACGACTTCGGGAACAGGGGCACCCATGACAACAGCCCCACAGATGACAGCGAGCTCAGGAGGGGCGGTGTCAATGGATGGAGGGGCCACACCTCGGCCGGCGGTATCGTTCATCCCCGTGCATTTGGGAAAGGGGGTGACCTACCACTGTAAAGACAGAGACTGGGGCCAGCATTTGGGAGATTCCACGCAAACTACCTGGTCGATGCCGGGGAGTCGGAGTTGGGACAGTATTTTTTTTACCCCCGGTCAAGCTCAGGGAGCTTCGGGATGACCCCGGGTAGACCCATCATGAAAACTTTGTTAAGTCCGGGGAGGGAAGTGGATGGGAGGCTGGATAGCCTGGAATTGGACTGTCGCACTATAATGCGGGACATAGGGCAACTGCTCCAGAATTTTCCGGGGATCGTGGCCCATGCGGTGCAGACCCAACTGGCTGTTCCACGGGTTCCCCCCGATAATTCCCATCCCTGCACCGGCTCCAGGCCAGCTGGTCCCTCAGCCACCTCCGCCGCCGCCTCCGCCGCCGCCCCCCCCACCGCCACCGCCACCGCCACCGCCACCACCACACTCGGCACAGCCTGCAGGCCCCCTACCCCTGTAGTACGGACCTGTAGTCTAATAAAGCATAACGATTCCCTGGAAACTTGTGTGGAGATTTACTTGCTGTTGAACCTGACAGAAATTGTTAGGAATCACCTTTACCCCATCGGACCGATTCTCTCCTGAACGAGATGAGCGGCACTGGGTGGGCAGGGGTTACCCCGACAACCACATCGATGACTACTCCGACCACCATATCGGTGCCTACACCGACTACCACAGTGATGGTACCTACGACGGTGCCCACCACAGCCCCGACCACGACAGCACCGGCGGTACCCACCCCGACGACTTCGGGAACAGGGACGCCCATGACGATGGCCCCACGGACGACAGTGAGCTCAGGAGGGCCGGTGTCAATGCATGGAGGGGCGACACCTCGGTCGGCGGTATCGTTCATCCCCGTGCATTTGGGAAAGGGGGTGACCTACCTCCGCAAAGACAGAGACTGGGGCCAGCATTTGGGAGACTCCACGCAAACTACCTGGTCGATGCCGAGGAGTCAGAGTTGGGACAGTATTTTTGACCCCCAGTTGAGCTCAGGGAGCTTCGGGATGACCCCTGGTAGACCCATCACGTTCCCATAGAAAACTTCGTTAAGTCCGGGGAGGGATGTGGATGGGAGGCTGGAAACGTGTGTGGAGATTTACTTCCTGTTGAACCTGACCACTATGTGGTCAGCGGACTCGCAACACTTGAAGCAAAGTGTTGATCAAGGCCTTTCACTCCTCTAACGGCTTGCCTCTGAACTCCCTACACTTGTTCAGAGGGTGTGGCTTCTTGTGATGTGGACAAGAAGGCTCGGTAGCCTTCTGCTGGTTTTGTCACACTTTGTCTTGCGTACAGACACTTCCACCTTGGCCTTTGTGTTTCGTGACGGTGCCCTCTCTACATAAGAGTCAGGCCGAGGGGGGTCATAGTAGGATTGGGAGTCATTAAGATCCTTTGCTAGCTGGGTGATGAAGCTCACTATGTATGAGAAAGGGGGGGACTGGTCTTGATGTATAGCCTTGTAGCTGGCAACTACATTGCCCCATTTCTCCTTCAATGCAGGTGGTAGCTTTTCTTTGATTTGTCTCTGTGTTAAGCTTTGGTCAAGACACGCAAGACCTGGTAACCTTGGATCTCTCTTGGCTGCTTGTAATGCTATAAGGAGATCAGACAATTTTCATAATTTGCTAGGGTCCTTGTCAGTTATCTTGGGAAATGCCTGGAGTTTCAGCATGAGCGCTTCCTCAATTGCTGTCGATGGTCCATAGTATGTGTCGAGCCTTGTCCTCACCTCCTGTAGGGCTGTTGTAGGATCCACTGCATTTGCCAAAGCAAGGGTTTGAGCTTGAGCAGAGGACTCTGGCCCCAGCCATGCCATCAGGTGTGTGAGTTCTTCTTCTGAAGGTAATCCTAGGTTCCTGATGACCCTTTGGAAGGTTTGCTTCCAAAACAGGTAGTGCTCTGGTAGCTCTGAGAACTTCTGCACCCCCCTTGCTGCCAGATCTGGTTTGATCCATGGAGGCATTCTATTAGGTGGCTCAACTACAGGCTTCATTTCTGACACTGGGTTCCCATAGGCAGGTTGCTGATGGGTGGGTGGCAGACCACTGACCGCATAAGCTGGCTGAGGTGCCATGTGCATGGGCTGGTTCCAGTTATTCGCTGTCTGTGTTGTCCAGATCCAACTGGGCACCTCTGGTGCTAGGAATGCTGGGGCAAGAGGCATACATGTGAACACAGGAGCTGTAGGTACATGGGGTATTGTTGTAGACACAGGAGTCATGTTGGTAAAGACAGGAGTTGTAAAAGCTAGTGATGTCATTGCAGTAGCACAGTCATTGGGTGATGCCAAGGGTCAGGAACCAGAGCGCCCTGACCTGAGGGGAACACCTGCATGGTTCCCATAGCTCCTTGCTGGTTCTGGTGTCCAACCTGCCTGGAGTTCATGGCTGGTTTGAATTCTGGGGTGTTAGGTTTGGGCACCCGACTGGTATCTCTTGATGTTGGAACAACCGATGTTGGAGCAAGCGTTGACACAGGATTTGTAGATGTCAATAGAAGGGTTGCAGGCATATGGCCTGGAGCTGCAGAAGCTATTCGAAGTGCAGGGGGTGGAGATACAGATTCTACTGTCACCAAGGTTGTAAGCACTTGCAGTGCCACTAGTGCATCAATTAACTGGGCTGGTACATGAGCGTGAGCTGCAGAAGTCACTTGTGTGTGCACTGACACAGCAGGCTGAAGTGCCAGAGGCGTCACCTCTGATTGGAAGTCGCGTGTGATGGCACTGTGTTCCACTACAAAGGACAAAACCCTTTGGGCAGTGTCTTGAACCTCCAACTCTGCTAGAGCAGGGTCTGGATCTAGATCCCGAAGCTTGTCCTCAACTGCTTTGGCCCGAGATGTGGTCTCCACTGCTTCTGCCTCTTGTTGTAGTGCTTTTTTCTCTACTCAGAGTTTGGTAGCTTCCAGCTCCTTCTCAAAGGTTGAGGAGGAGGGTCCTTAAACGGGAATGCTGTGACCCCAGACGTGGGGATGTGCAGAGGGTTACGTCACCCTCTTTCCCCTCTTAGGCTTCTGGCATATGCTGGTTCCCCTTTTCCCTTTGTATCTCTCTCTCTCTCTCCTTCACAGTTGTTGCCAGCCCAAGTCCTCCTTATTGGCCAGCTCCTTGCCCACTTTTATTACCCCCTCAGCCTCCTGCTCCCTCCCCTCTCCAGCTCCTCCCCACTGTAAAGGGGTAGACTCAGAGCTCGGGGACTCCGCCCTTCCTCTCATCGTCGCCACGCCCTCTGCCGCAGCCACGTCGCAGTGGTGGGGGTCACCCGGGCCCTCCCCCGAACTCCACCTCAACGCGGCCCGCTCTGTTGCTCCGGCGGGGCTCCCTCCGACTTCGCCGTCACTCCTGGCCTCAGCAGGCCCTCCTCCAGGCTCTTTGCCCTCGTCGCTGGCTCTCCAGGTAGGTACCGGTATTCGGCTGATGAGGGGATCCCCTCCTTCTCCCGCTGGGCCTGGGAGGTCCCAGTCCCGACTGGGACAATCTGGGAGAGGGTAAATCAATCAGCTCTCCTTTAACTATGCAGTTCTCGGCAGCATGAGCTGGCCCTAAGAGTGGCACAGTCTTCACTCATTTAACATCGGCTTTATTCAACTCTTCAGCATCCAACGGTTCAGTTTACTTACATTCCCTTTTTCAATAGCTGTCCTGACTCCTTGAGTGATTCATGTGGTAAAAGGACCTGAGCTTCTCCCATCTTTTTAGCTCTGAGATTACAAACATACTGGGAGGAGGAGGGTAATAAACAACTTTTCCCGGGCAAATGCATCAAAGGAAAAAGGCTGTATAGAACCAATTTATCTCTCGGCTATTCTCCTGCAGAGTGCAGGGGGTTGGACTAGATGACCTGCAAGGTCCCTCCCAACTCTAACATTCTATGATTCTATGATTTCCCCATAATCTATCAAAGTAGTAAAAGGATGCTTTCCCCCTCCACTCTTTACATGCATGATAATAGAATGATAATCTGCCTTAGTGGTAATAAATGAGGACCAGAAATTAGAATTTAGCTTAGCTTCAAGTACAAATAACATGGGGGGTAAGGTTGCCAACTTCCAGGTGGTTAGTAAAACAGTAAATCACCATGTGCAATTAAACAATATTTGTTCGTTTTTATATGCAATGTTTAGAATTCAATTATTAACAAACTATTATTAACTTCCAGGTGGTGGCTGGAGATCTCCTGGGATCACAACTGGTCTCCAGGTGGCAGAGACCGGTTCACCTGGAGAAATTGGCTGCTTTGGAAGGTGGACTCTATGGCATTTATACCCCATGGTAGCCTCTCCCCTCCTCAAACCCCGCCCTCCTCAGGTGCTTCCCCCAAAACCTCCAGGCATCTCCCGACCCAGAGCTGGCAACCCTATGCAGGGTGGTGGTAGAGATAACCTGGGCCAGGATATTGTGATTTCTTTTTTTTGGCCCTGGAACTCCCATGATCCTCTTGTACTGAGATTCCTAGCTCTATTTTCTGATGAATTATGCCTGCCACAAATGGACAGACAGATGGACACACTGATTCTTTTATTATTATAGATGCATGGGAACGGCCAGCCCAGTGATCTCTTTTATTATAATATTTGGTTTGGATCAGCAACATATGAAGAGCCCAAGTGTCCAGGGCCCCATGGTGACTCTAGGCAGCCCTCCTCCCCAGTGCGATATGTACATTGGACAGGAAACGCTGGAAACTGGTCTGCTCCAGATCTGAGAAAGGTACTGGGTGCTACAAAACCCACCAGAGGTGATCGATAGTAGCGATGCAGGATATTAATGAAGTCTGTTATCGTCAGCATACCTGCAGAAAGAGAAAAAGAGGAAGCAGGTGAAGAGGTGGGCGTGGTTGAGCTGGGAGGACCTGGAGAGTGGTCCAGCAATAGATGTGAGAAGTCTCAGTGAAGCAGGGACAGGGGCTTGAGTAACTGGACAAGAGAGCCAAGCAGAGGATGCTGGAGCTCTCCACAAGTCACTGTCAGGCTTCCCATATATATGCAGACAACGAATCTTCTGTGCCGTGTGAATGGTTAGGAAAATTGCCCTAATGCTCATGATCCATCTTTCCTAGGCCCACCCCTTCTGCCTTCTCCCCTCCTGAGCCTCGACAACTGCATCACTTACCCACAAAGCACTGCTTCTTGCTGTCCCAGAGAGGAGCCGCTCGGACCCCATTGGCCACCATGGCAAGGAAGGCTTTCTTAATCTGGGGACAGAGAACGGAATGTACAGGGCCAGAACGGCAACTGTTCTTGCATCATGTGGATACAAAGATATGGGGGAAGAGCTGCGTGCAGCCTAACAGGCTGAAACAAATCCCAAAGTTAGTTTTCTATTTGCTCATCATTCACTCGGGACTCTAGTTCTGCACAGGTGCTATTTAAGCCTTCTCTGCTAAATTTCATGTCTCTGCTTTGTAGTTATTTCATTCTCTTCTCATGAGTCTGCAACTTTCTCTAAATCAGCTGTGGAAATGTAGAAAAAAAAACACGAAGCATGCGCCTGTGCGGTCCTACCGACAGCCGTCCAAGGGGAGCCACCAGAGACTGCCGCCAAGAAAAACATCAGAGCCTGCCAAAAAAGAAGAAGCCGAGCCGAGCCAGAACAACAAACAAGGATCCACCACCTGGGTGCCTGTAGGATGTCCCCCCCCCAAAAAAACCCCATGTGGCCTAAGTTAGGGTTCAGCGTTACTAGAACGCACCATGTAAACTGCCCAGAGACCCTTCGGGGTTAGGGCGGTATAGCAAGTCTAAAGTATAAATAAATAATTAAATAAATGTAATAAATCATAATCTGCTTTGAGTCCCAGTGAGCAAGGCAGGCTATAAATAGCACTAAATAAATACGTGAATGAGTTAGGAGAAACTGGAAAGACACCACTGCAACTAAAGGAAGAACATGACAGAACTGAAAGGTAACCAGCTTATTTCTCACCCAGCACAAAAGTCCTTTAAGAACTCCTTGCAAAGGAGGAACCAGGCAGATCTGATGTCCCTTATTCCAGCCCTGTCCGTTTTCTTCCCCACTCTCTCAGCTGTAACATAAAGCCCTTGACACATCAGTATGATGTGAGTGGAGGGAAGGCTCAGATGTTAGTGTTACAAAACCCTGGGGAGATGCATTGCAGGCTTCCGAGGACACGGAGGACCTAATCAGGACAGGAGGTGCAGCAAGGAGGAAGGGCCCACTGACAACAGCAGAAGGTAACACCATTATCACGTCTCCAAGTGCAGCTCCCACCATTCCCATATTTTTAATTATTTAGTATATTTATACTGGGGGTACTACTAGACTCTAGCTTCATTCTCACATCTTTCTGCTAAGTCTTGCCTTTATATGCTAATCTGCTGTTCTCCGTTGATCTTACTGGCCACCTGATCCAATTTCAGCTCTGCAGACGCATCTTGGCCCTGAGTGGTTCCTCCTAACAGCTCCCCCCCCCACTCTCTTTTTTCCTGTAAATAACTCTTGAAGAGATTTTATTCCATTTGTCTAAAGAAGTGTGCTTTGCACACAAAAGCTTACACTTTGAATTAAGCTTTGTTGGTCTTAAAAGGTGCCCCTGGACTCAACCTTTGTTCTAGTATATTTATATGTCACCTTCCTCCTGTAACAGGGGACTCAAAGTCCTAATATATCAAGACCTGCTACCTGGAACCCAGAAGGGAGAAGCTTCTGTACTGCCTCCAGGGAACCTGCGTGCAACGAGTGAATAATCAGAATCTGCTTATATAAGGAGAAAGTAAAGGAGAGGCCTCCTTCTTGCCTTTGCTCCTGTCTTCAGACCCTGCCCTTTCATCTGTGTAATATCACCCTGGGTTCTGTTTCTTGTTCGCACTACAGAATGGATGTTGCGAACTGGCTATTTTTATACAGGTATGGGGAATAGCTGTGTTCATTGAGTGGAAGAGGCGGAGCAATCGTCTTGGGTCAGGCTATTACTCCTGTCTGCTGGATTTCTTTTATTTCTCCATTTTATAACCCATTTTTCTCCTCCGCGTGAGAACATCATCCTCAAAACATCATTATCCTCCATTTTATCCTCCAGCAAGCTTCCATGGCAGCATGGAGATTCAAACCTGAGTATCCCAGATCTTACTCCGACACTCCATCCATCACCCTGGCTCCCCCAGAGAGATTACCATCAAACCCAGATATTTAAAAGTCAGATCCCCACCTCACCCATTTGATCAACAATAATGCCCCAGATAGCATCCCTCTCACCTGTAAGGTGGTTTCAAACACTACCAGCTTGGAACTGGTAGGAATAGCATCGTAACAGTGGTGGCTCCGCATGAAATGCATGTAGATTTCGGCATCTGGGCCCAGGAAATCAATATCAGGGCCAAACCCAAGAATCTCACAGTCAAGAGAAATGATGTCTTCATTGCCTTCCTTGTTGCCCTGTTCTAGTTTGGTGCCCTCCACCTTGGCATCAAGAGTTTCCATTTTGCTATGCCGATCGCCATCTTTAGCATCCAATGTGGTTGTCTGGGTATTCTGGCCCTCCTTCCTAGGACTGGGCATCATATCCTTGACCAGTGGCCTTGCTTGCCTGTGATCTGTAGCTGTGACCTCTGAACCAGCAGCATTCTTAGTTCCATCATACTCTTTGACCTCAGAATTTGCAGACTTAAAGCCCAATTCTGTTGCAGTGGCCGTTGTCACCTTGCCATCCCAATGTGCATCCTTTGCATCCCGCACAACGGCTTCAGTATCCCGGTTTATGTTCCGGCTAGTGGACATCACTTCCAACTCTGTACCTTTGCCACCTGCAGCCAGGTCTTTGGCTTCCATTCCTACAATCTCGGCTTCCAAAACTGATTCCTTGACATCCAGAGACAGGGAGGGGCCTAGTAGGTAAGGGGAAGCATTGCAAATCCAGGTACCAAAAGCATTTTGCTGGGCGAAATACTTAAGACTGACACAACCTTCATTCCTTCTTGCTAAGCCCACAGAAATGGTATTCGTTTGCCTAAACAAACTGCAGGCATGTAGCTGCTGGCCCAGAACAGCCAAGTATTTGCCAGTTCAACCCTACCCCATTTACTGCATAACATAAAACATACATGCATCCAGTTAAGATTATTTAGTTCCATTCTTTGCCAAACAACAGGAGACACGCCCTATCTTCAATAAAGGCAGGCTAGAGGCATTGCTTGGCTTTATTAGGGGCCCCAAACTGACCTGCTAAGAACAATTCAAATATCGGGTCAAGGCTGAATTTTGAGTGCCGATCTCTGCTTACTGTATAACCTGGTCCCAATGAAACTGGAGTCCCTACGCTACCCCCAGGCAAGGTTCTGACTTGGAAGGGGGCATCAGAGTAGAGGAAAGAGATCACTAGGCTAGAATGGCGGGCTTAGATTGAAGGGTGTCACCTTAGTTATGTCCCTAATTATGTGTGTTTCAAACCATGGCCATACTGATTAGTAAGTTTAGAAGACATCCAATGTAGGCAGTAAGCATCTAAAGCGGGTCCCTGGCACAGATCTCAAGAGTTAAGTGGCCTTCAAGCAGTGCAGTCTGTACTTGGGTACAGTCACCTCACCAACAGCAGGCAAAACACCCACCTGCTTCCAGAGACTGGAGGGCATTGCTCAGTGATGACACCTGGGAGGGGAGGAGAAACAGACAGAGTTAAGTAGGGGCCTCCACAGCATGTGTTCACAGTGCAAGTTCAGTTCTCGCGCTCAGTTCAGTTCAGCCCGCTCGCGGGGAGGGCGGGGTAAAAATGCTTAAATAAATAAATAAATAAATTTTTGCTGGGTTTTATTCTGATCCTGTGTGTGGATGCCTGAAGCACACACTACGGAGACAAGGGATGAGAGGGGCCCTGCAAAGTCTCCTCAGTCCCAACCTGCTACGTATCTAATGCGAATCCAGTGCTGGAGGGATCCCAACTGCATCTTTGTCTTTTTCTGCAAGGAGCAGCCGTTCAGGCAGGCGAGTCCTTCCACCCTTGTGAAGCTACAGTTTATCCACTTCCTATAGCTGCAATTTATTTATTTCATTAAATTTACCTCCCTCCCCACATTGTAGGCTCAGGATGGGTACCAACATGTAAGTATCTGCAATGTATGCAGATTTACACATTTAAAACATATTACAATAATCAATTTAAAATCTATAAAATCATCATCCTTATTTCACTAAAAACATCAGCATTAAAACAACAGTGTGGCTCAACGGCAGATAATGTGGTCCAAGTCTGGCTTCCAGGATCTGCAGTCACTGAGGGGGAAAGGCCCGCTGCCTCAACGACAGGCCCAGCGGAAGAGCTCCATTTTGCAGGCCCTGCGGGACTGTAATAGGTCCCACAGGGCCCTGCTCATTCCACCAGGCAGGGCTTGGGCCGAAAATGCCCTGGCCATAGTTGAGGCGAGTCAAACATCCCTTAGGCCAGGGACTGCCAGGAGGTGATGACTGGCAGAACATAATGTTTTACGGGGCTCATATGGGAAGAGGCAGTCTCAGAAATATGCGGGCCCCTGGCCGTATAGGGCTTTAGAGGTAAGCACCAACACCTTGAAATGGGTCTGGAATTCAATAGGCAGCCAGTGCAGGTCACGCAGCACCGGGCCATCAACACCCATGACGCTGCGTTCTGCACTAGCTGCAATCTCCACAGCAGAGTCAAGGGAAGCCCCATGTAGAGAGAATTACAATAATCTAATGTGGAAGTGACCGTCGCATGGATCACTGCAGCCAGATCGGGGGGTGGGGGGTTGAGATATGGGGCCAACTGCCTGACCTGCCTCAGACGGAAAAAGGCAGACCTGACAGTGGCGGTGGCCTGGGCCTCCACAGTCAATGGGGCATCCAGGAACACTCCAGGTGCAGAACCTCCATCTTTGTTGGATTCAGTTTCCGTCTGCTCTGTTGTAGCCATCCAGCCACAGCTTGTAACGCCCCATCCAGATGTTCAGGGGCAGAGTCTGGGTGGCCATTTGTCAGGAGATACAGCTGGGTGTCATCCACATACTGGTGACAGCCCAGCCCATACCTCTGAATAAACTGGCCAAGGAAGCGCATATAGACGTTGAATAACACTGGAGAGAGGATCGCTCCCCGCAGCACCCCACATCCAAGTCAGTGCCACTGAGACAACTCCCCCGCAGTGCCACCCCCTGTCCCCGATCTTGGAGAAAGGAGGCCAGCCACTGTAAGGCTAGTCCCTGTGTCCCCACATCGGGGAGGCGGTGGGTCAACAGTTTCTGATCAACCATAATGAACGCCGCTGACAGATCTATTTATTTATTTATTATTAATTCTTGGGATTTATATCCCGCCCTACCCATACGGCCCAGGGCGGCTAACAGCGGCCAAGCCGAAACAAAACATAAAATACATTAAAACTTCAATAAATACAAGCTAAAATGGTGCTCTACAGTACATGATAAGGTTCATTTAAAGTTCATTTTAAAATCCAAGATGGTCGATGACTCTCATTGGCGGCCGATGGAATAAATGCCGGAGCGCCGGGATGATGTTCCTCCTCAGGCAACATTTTACCCCCATCCAAGGCCAGGCAGGTGGTAAGTCCGCCACAATGATGGTATAGTGGCGGCGGCGGCAGCTCCTACTCGAAAGCCTGGCGGAAGAGCCCCGTCTTACAGGCCCTGCGGAACTGCAGGACCAAACCCGCCTTGATCCAGGTATCTCCAGAGATCACACCCCAAGGCGACCAACACCATCTCCATCCCATGGAAGCTGGACTGGAAAGGATCCAGGATGTTAGCAACTGAGATGTACACAAAGCTGTTGCAGGGAATATTAAATATGGGTTGGAGGTGAGAAGGGACAAAGTAACCCTTATTTTTAAACAGTGAGGAGAATGAGAATTACATAGGAGGGTTCTATCACAGCCCTCCTCATCCTCAAGAGTGACACTGTGGTTCCTTCTGTTGGCACACAAAGCTGGTTGATGTCCTGGCACTCAAGAGTCATGCATTGCACTGCCTATGCGGGGCAAGGCCTGCCCAATGGAAGCCATTGTTTCTGTGCCAGAGACAAGTCATAACCAGTGTTCCCTCTAAGCTGAGTTAGTGTGAGCTAGCTCACAGTTTTTAAGCCTCTGGCTCACATATTTTTGTCTTAGCTCAGAAAGGATGGCTCCAGAGCAAACTAATTTATGCAGTAGCCAAATTGCTTGCTCACAACTTTAATGCCAGTAGCTCACAAAGTAGAATTTCTGCTCACAGGACTCCACAGCTGAGAGGGAGCAGTTCAATCAACCACAATACACGTAGACTCAAATACAGCATTTTGAAGTGCAAGGCTTCTGCTACTGGTCCTAGGACTGTGAGGAGGTTGTATGCCATCCCTAGAAGACTAATAGCAGGGGCAGGGCTTTTTTTGTAGAAAAAGCCCAGCAGGAACTGATTAGCATAATAGGCCACACCCAACAGCAGAAACCATTAGCATATTAGGCCACACCCCTGAGAGCAAGCTCATTAGCATATTAGGCCACACCCCACATGTTGCCAGAAGTGTGGTCATCCAACCACACCCACCTTTTGCTTCTTATTCTGTTTACTTTGTTGTCAAAACCCTGGGCTTTTTTTGTAGCAGGAACTTCTTTGCATGTTAGGCCACACACCCCTAATGTAGCCAATCCTAATGCTGTTAGGTGTGGCCTATTATGCTAATGAAGCTCAAATACTTTGGCCACCAAATGAGAAGGGAGCACTCACTGGAGAAGACCCTGATGCTGGGAAAGATTGAAGGTCAAAGAAGACGGGGACGGAAAAGGATGAGATGGTTAGACAATGTTATAGATGCAACGAACATGAAATTGAGCAAACTTCAGAGGACAGCAGAAGACAGGAGGGCCTGGCGGGATCTGGTCCATGGGGTCGCGAAGAGTCGGACTCGACTGTGCGACTGAACAACAACAAAATTATGCTAATGAGTTCCTGCTGGGTGTGGCCAACTCAGGAGCCAGCCGGAACTCCGTTCCTGTGCGTTCCTGCCCAAAAATAGCCCTGAGCAGGGGAAGACAGCTTGGCAGCAAGTAGATATAGACACTGATATTATGACCCTGATCACCTCTCTCTACCTTTGCTTGTATCTCTTGTATTTTTAAGTGTGAGGACAGGGCCCTGTTAATTCTTGATAGATATGATTACTTCTGCAAGAAAACTGCTGTCTGAAAAGCAAGATACAACTATAATGAATAAATAAAGAAAATACACTGCAGTGGACACAAATCTACAGAGCCCCTTGTATAGTTAAGACACAGCATCATGCACAGGGACATGCCAACAGTGTACAGATATATAACTAAAGGCGCACACACTTTCTTGTTCTCGCAATGAACAAGGCAGAAGAATGGGCACAATATTTATCACCACTCTCTCCCATCACTCGTTCTGGCTGTCTTTAAGCCACTTGGCACCAGCGAATGCCTACAGATCAAGTTAGTACTTGGGCCTTTCCTTCCACTCAGCTTTGTGCCTGAGCGGATGGGAAGAGGAAGCATGCCAGCCAGCAAAAATACACAAGAAAACTGCATGGGAAAAGACCCTTGTCTTTGAGTGATGAGAGTTGCCAAGAGACAATGGGATTCAGGGGTTCAGCAGATCTCAGTTCAGTCCCAGAAGGATTACAGCAAGGGCTGCAACAGGTAGTCAACAAAGCAGTTAGTTGATTCAAGTCCTGTTGACTGATTAAAAGGAGGTTCCCCAATCAATCAGATAGTAGTTAGCCCAGCCTAGCCCAATCTTGCCAGAGAAACAGAGTTGGTCATAGTTAGTACTTGGGAGCAGTGTTCCCTCTAAGCTGAGTTAGTGTGAGCTAGCTCACAGTTTCTTAGCTCTGGCTCACATATTTTTGTCTTAGCTCAGTAGTCAAATCACTTGCTCACGACTTTAATGCCAGGAGCTCAGAAAGCAGAATTTTTGCTCACAAGACTCCAGAGCTTAGAGGGAGCATCGCTTGGATGGGAGACCACCACCAAGAAAGACTGGGTTGCTGTGTATGAGAAAGCAATGGCAAGACCACTTCTGCTCATCTCTTGGCCTCGAAAATCCCATGATCCTGAAACACCCTGAGTCAGTTGTGACTTGATGGCAAACAATTATTAATGCAAAAAGTACTTAGGAAACATATCTGAGTGGCAGCTGGCACCATGTCCCCCATTTCTTTCCCGGTCAGGAGTTGTCTTTTCTCAGGCAGGGCCTGCTATGCCAGACACTTGCACCACCCGAATGTCCTTTCTGTCTTTAGCACTACTGTGTCTATTCATATGCAGATTTAATCCTAACAGTGGATGCAAGTGTTGCCAGCAGGGCTTTTTGTAGAAAAAGCCCAGCAGGAACTCATTAGCATAATAGGCCACACCTGATAGCAGAAACTCATTAGCCTATTAGGCCACACCCCTGACAGCACAGCTCATTAGCACATTAGGCCGCACCCCCATGTTACCAGAAGTGTGGTCATCCAGCCACGCCCACCTTTCCCTTCTTATTCTGTTGACCTTGTTTGTGGTCAAAACCCAGGGCCTTTTTTTGGAGCAGGAACTCCTTTGCATGTTAGGCCACACACCCCTAAGGTAGCCAATCCTAATGGGTTCCTGCTGTTGGGTGTGGCCTATTATGCTAATGAGCTCCTGCTGGGCGTGGCCAACTTGGGAGCCAGTCGGAACTCCTGTGCGTTATCACTAAAGACTCCCATCTGTCCTTTAGTTTGGAGACCCGATCTCACTGAGCCTTTTAAAGGAGGGTCAGAACTGCTGATCCCCAAGGGGGAAAAACGCCCACAGGCCACTGGAGGCTGCTTGGTTCGTCCTTCCTTGCCGCTGGATGCTTTCAAACCCTAAACGCCTCTCCCGGTAGTGCAGCGCCCCCGCTCCTGAGGCCTGCCTGTCCTCATTCAGCCCTCGTTGCTGTCACAGACGCTCCCTCCCCTCCGTTTACGCAAAAGGAGGCAGGCGCCGCGAAAGAGTAACCAGGGATGCCGCCGACTCCGCGCAGCCACAAAAGGGGGGGGGGGGGGGGGGAGGTAATAAAAGCGGGTGCCGCCCTCCAGGCGGGCGCTCCAAGCTGTGAGTGCGGGAAAGGGAGAGCACGTAGGAAGGCGGCGGTCGCCGGCGTTGACTGTCCGACGTGAAGGCCGCCAGAAGCCCCGCACACTCGGCACGCAGTGTTCCCTCTAAGCTGAGTTAGTGTGAGCTGGCTCACAGGTTTTTAGCCTCTGGCTCACACTTTTGTCTTTGCTCAGGAAGGATGGGGCTCCAGAGCAAACTGATTTATGTAACAGCAGCCAAACCGCTCGCTCACAGATTTAATGCCAGCGGCTCACAAAGTAGAATTTTTGCTCACAAGACTCCACCGCTTAGAGGGAGCCTTGCTCGGCAAGCGCATCCTTTGCCCTTATCAACGGGG